ACAGGTCTATAAATATTTGGACACCGACAAAGTTATTCTTACTTTAGTTGTCTACCACATATACTGGAGTTGAAATTAAATCAAGAACTGAAGCTCAAAGTCCAGAGTAAATACAAGAAGTTTACCAAAAGATGTAAACCATTGCTAAGCCTCAAACACAGGAAGACCAGATTAGAGTTTGCCAAAAACATTTTCTAAAAAAAGGCCTGTACAGTTCTGGACAATATCCTACGGACAAATAAGACAAAGATCAACTTGTAGCAGAATGATGGGAAGAGAAAAGTATAAAGAAGTGTACCACCTCATCTTATGCTGTGGGTGTGTATATCTGCCAGTGGAACTGGTTCCCTTGTATTTATTGATGATGTGACCGCTGGCAAAAGCAGCAGGATGAATTCTGAAGTGTATAGAGCTATATTATCTACTCGGATTCAGCTAAATGCTTCAAAACCCATTGGACAGCGCTTCACACTGCTGATGGACAATGACCCCAGGCATACTTCAAAAGCAACCCAAGACTTTTTTTAAGGCAGTGAAGTAGAATGTTCTGCAGTAGCCAAGTCTATCACCTGAGTACTGAACACAACTGAGCATGTATTTCCATGCATCTTCATTTCTCCAATATCCTGTGGTAGGCAGCTAAAATAACAGTAACTCTGTCAATGTCTAAGTATTTATGGACCTGACTCAATCTGTAAAAGTTTTAAGGGCTAAATTTAGCTACAATTGGACGGGCAGGCTTTCAGTATTCAGTATTTATCTGTGGCTTGTCAGGCATCAAATGATCTTCTTTCTTTTCTGATAAAGATATATGATACAGTAAAGCCTTTAAAATAGCCACTCTTCCGATATGCGAGTCAGCTCAAATACATACTCCTGCATATAACAAAGCCAACGTTTTACAAAAAAAAAAAGTTCTCTAGTGCTCTGTAAAAACTACAAAAGTATGTTAAGCTGTATAAGCATGCCACGCTGTTCACCTAAAGGGCAAAAAAAAAAAAAAAGAAAAAGTTGAAAAGAAGGCCTGAAAATGAACATACTTAAAAAAAGACAGAAATGTGAAATGTTTTTATTATATAGAAGAAAACATATTAGAAATATCCTTTATAATAATAATAATAATAATAATATTATTATTATTATTATTATTATTATTATTAATAAACAATATAGATATAGTATGTTTATATTTAGTTACATACTGGACAATTAGTACAAACAAAGTTCAGTTAACAAAGCGTTTAGTTCTTACATCATTTTAAATAATCTTATGTCTTTCCTTAGGATTTCCAAGAATAAAAAATCTTTTGTTACATCATTTATGGAATATATTGCAATCAAAGCATGATTACTTCACTACAGTAATTAGCAAGCATCTGAGTACAGGATAAACAGGAATCACGCCCATGAGCTTTCAGTTCTAATCACCTTTATTATACCTGGAAGATGAGTGATGAAAACATCTGTGAAAACATTTCCTCGTATAAACAAAGATGAATTCCCAGACTGAATTCCCAAAAATGATTATATTTATATTTCTCATAAAACTGAGAAAACATATAGTAAAAAAAATGCAGACATGTCAGTTCTGTATTCTTCTGACTAGATAGTAAAGCACAAAGAACATCAGGACCAGGCCTATTGAAACGTAGCACAGGATCTTGCGGTTATCTCTGCCAGAGCGGACCATCGTGGAAAACCTCTTTACGCTGCCTGTCAACAGTCCAGTTGCACTGAGGAAATTTGAGTCCTACAGAAAAAAAATGACATTGATGCACCGTGTTAATAAATGTTAGTGTCTTCAAATATTTGACAACTGTATGGCATAAAGCCACCAAGTACCATATTTCCCCAAATGTCTACAGCGTGTCCGAAAAGTCAGGAATCTGATGTCGATCTGAATATGCTGAGCAAAATCCGCAAAAACATTACAGCAGATGAGGGTGAACATACAGAGCATATGTTGTAAATAATAAACACAAAATTAAGTATATGTAGTTTTACTCTCATTGGTTCCTGACTTTTCGGACACCCTGTATATTGTTTACAGACTAGGAATAGACCCAGTCTGTTTTCACATGATTGCTGACAGGATCACACACCATGCCATCCAAGTATGAATTCTGTTCTTCAGCCTCCTTGTCAATATCATATGCCAACTGTAAGTGAGAAGAGAGACAAATCACACATTTCATTAACCGGAATCTGTAAAGTAAAGCATGATGTTACTTTACAAACTGGACTGATGTGACATACCGACTTCAGTCTGGATACTTTACTTGAGAGATTCTCAGCCATGCGTTTGTTTTCTGCGTCCAGCATATCATCAACAGCGCCGTGTCCTGGAAAGACAATGATGGAAGAGGTACACAAATCCTTTACTTGATTAAAAGTAGAAATGAGCTAATAAAAAATAAAATCCTGTTATAATAAAGAGAGGTCCTTGTGAACAAGGACAATCGTCTAACCCTAGACAATTTACGAGTAGCTAAAGCCTTAGCCAACTTTCAGGTTATTAGGTACACCTAATTCATATCTACACTCAGTGGCCTTTGACCACACACGTGTACTTTTCTGTACGTATACATACTGAAAAGTCAATATGTTGCTGTACACAATTTGGTCATCTCCCCTGTACCCTGTCCATCAGTAGTAAGAGAAGCACTACAGCACCACTACTGAGCAGATATTATTTGGGTGGATCATTCTCCGTGTGGCACCGACAACCACACAGTGTATCCAAGACAGAATTAATATCTGGTCAGTGCGGGTTCTATGCAGTTTGGGGAAAGCCTATAGGTATGCACATATAGGTGTGCACGACTGCACCCCAGTCCTCCTCACCCAACATCAGCGCCTGACCTCACTAATGCTCTTGTGACTGAATGAACACAAATCCCCACAGCCACGCTCCAAAATCTAGTGGAAAGACTTCGCAGAAGAGTGGAGGTTCTTACAAATGCGGGGGGGGGGGGGGCAACTCCATGAAGTAATGCCCATGGTTTTGAAATGGGATGTCCACCAAGTTCATATAGAAAGTAATAAGGCCATATAGAGTAATATTGTTAAACAAACAAATAAATAAGTGAGGCTGAATTTACAAATGCCAAGTGGCAAAGATCTATGCATAAACTCCAGTATAAACTTAATACATATATTATCTATTAAGTGCTAATTAAACACATTTTGTAGAGTCAACTCTTAAAAGTTTATGCATCAAACACATAACACACACACACACACACACACACATAAACACACACAAAATGGAGAATAGTATATAAGAGTATAGCTGTTATCCTGAAGCTGTCTGAAGCAGTACTAGCAAATGAATATAAATTTTGTGTTTAAGAACTAATTAAACTAATTGAACATCATGAATGGTTATTTTTTTTTGTAAGGAAGTGCACTGTTTTGTGAGTTTGGCCTGAAAGTGTGTTAGCAGTACACAGCTGTAGTAATAAGTGCTGTCACAGCGAACTACGTGTCACTTACTTACCCCTGTTCCAGTGATCAGCCATCTTTATAAACAAACACTCTAGCTAACTAGTCAAAAACACCACCAAACACCAGAGAGAAAAATACAAATTAAAAACGTTCCTACGTCCAAAATAATTCCACTATAACTCAAAACAAAAATAAAGATGTTCTCTTAAAATCTGACAAGGCTAAAAGGATTGTGGGATATGTTAGTCCGCCTGCTCCACTCCGCTCAGCTGGATTAGCCAGCTCGGTTTATCCTGGTTTTACTGATAATGGTCGCCATCTTTGCTGAGCTGCGATTGGTTAGCGGGTCATCCTCAAACGCGGCGAGGATGAGCTCCTAGCCAATCCTAAGCTGTAGCCGTGAAGGACTTAACCAATCGTAGCGCAGGGGGCGGGTCTTATCAGGGTACGGGTAACAGCGACAAATGCGTTTTATAAGATGTCACGGTAGATAGCATCCTCGGTGTAAAACGAGCCAGCAAGGTATTTTAGCTTTAACCATATTTAATAAATTAAACTTTTGTTTTTGGTTTTTTTTGGTGCATATGATTTGATTAAGGTTTATGAATGGCATACAAATAACAGGATGTTTAAGATGATTTGTCACAAGCTGTATTTATGGCAGATTTATATATATATATATATATATATATATATATATATATATATATATATATATATATATGAACAGTTGTATATTTTGTGTGAGATCTGCTCGAGTTATTGGTTTTGGGTTTTGAGGTTATCTTCTGCACTCCAGCATTGTCTACAACATCCAATTGTTTTGTCTTTACTGATTAAATCTTATTTCTAGGGTCTAGTTTATTAGAATTACTTGGCCTTTAAGGTTCACATATTATAAACAGTTTTATGTCTGTTCTAATGTCATATTGGTGATATTTGATATTTGAAAAAAAAAATGTATAAGCAGCTACATAGAAGCTCATCCTGATATATCTGTTGTTTTTCTTTTTTTTTTTTTCTTTTTTTTTTCAGATCCTGTGTTGTCATCTTGTGCTCCATTCATCACAAAGACAAAATCAATAGACGTCCAGTGAATGAATGGACATCCACATCCACACCAGACCTGGGATGCTGCTCTGTGTCAGTTTAATCAGGATCCTCTGAACTCCTGCATTGTGGTGATGTATGTTTTATACTGGTCTACCCCACTATCCGTCGTGTTCAGAACAATAAAATTGCGGTCAGGTTGTTTTAAAAGTTTCCACTAGTTTACGTAATACACAATCGCTGTTGTGTTAAAATCTGCGCAGCAACCCACAGGTGTAAAACCATCCTTTCGCTCCTCTTCCAAGGAGTGACCAGTTGTTGTTGTTCCTCTTTCGGCTGCTCCCGTTAGGGGTCGCCACAGTAGATCATTGGTCCGTATATTTGATTTGGCACAGTTTTTACGCCAGATGACCTTTCTGATGCAAACCCTCCCCGATTTTATCCGGGCTTGGGACCAGCCCTGAGAGCGCACTGTTGCATGCAACTCCAGTGGCTGGGGTCGGTTCCCTGGCCGGGAATCGAACCCCAGCCACAGTGGAGAGACTGCTGTGGCCTAACCACTAGTCCTCCAGGGACCCCAAGGAATGACCAGTAATATCTTAAATATACTCCAAAAACTCAGTTTTTGATTTTGTTGTAAAGCATAAAGAATAAAGATTGAAACTTGTGGTCATTTTGGATGACCTGTTCAGTGTCAGGGCATTCTGTTACTGAAATGTTGTTGTACTTCTTTCGGCTGCTTCCGTTAGGGGTTGCCACAGCAGATCATTGTTCCACATATTTGATTTGGCCCAGTTTTTACACCAGATGCCCTTCCTGATGCAACCCTCCCCAATTTTATCCGGGCTTGGGACCAGCACTGGGAGTGCAGCGTCGTGTGCAAACCCAATGACTGGGGTTGGTTCCCTGTGCCAGGAATCGAATCCGGGCTGTGGCGGTGAGAGCGCCGAGGCCTAACCGCTAGTCCTCCAGGGACCCATTCTGTTACTGAAATAGCTGTACAATTATAGTTTTAGTCTGTATATCATGTCAGCAACAGTAATTCATTTAATAATGTTTTTTTTTTGTTGTTTATTAGAGCAAAGCTCTGAAAATCCAGCAATGTTGGCCCGGAAAGGCCTGGTGCCTGAAGGATTTCTGTTGACACGCCTGGCTGAAGATGCCACCCAGCCTAACCGCTTCCGTAGCAAATCACAGCGTGCTCGCTTTATCACCAAAAGTGGATCATGCAACGTTGCTCACAAGAACATACGAGAGCAGGTACAACAATGCAATATTTATTTTCATTCTCACTTTGTTAGGAGACAATTTAATATATGCCGTGCTTATGCATTTTTGTAATTAAAGTGAGCAAGGTCTGCATCCCAGGCAATGCAATTTAGCTTTGTTTTTCTTTTAATTTCTCCCTCCAGGGTCGGTTTCTTCAGGATGTTTTTACCACTATGGTGGATCTTAAATGGCAGCACTCACTCCTTATCTTTACCTCAGCATTCCTCTGCTCGTGGATGCTCTTTGCCATGATGTGGTGGCTCCTGGCCTTCGCTCACGGTGATCTGGAGCCACGAGATCCCACTGAGCCTGGACCTGTTCCCTGTGTTACTGCCATCCACTCCTTCACTTCAGCGTTCCTCTTCTCCATCGAGGTGCAGGTGAGGAACAAGCTGGATGGAATGAAAGGTTTATGATCATGACTTACAGGTCTATTGATCATGACTTAGATGAAATTTCTGACATAACTGGTGCTCAAATCCATAAATGTTGTACCATGTTGTATTATGTTATCAGGTGACCATTGGTTTTGGTGGGAGGATGGTCACAGAAGAGTGTCCACTGGCCATTGTAGTTCTGATCATCCAGAACATTTTGGGCCTCATCATCAACGCTGTCATGCTGGGCTGCGTGTTCATGAAAACGGCTCAAGCCAATCGCCGAGCAGAGACACTCATCTTCTCCCGTAACGCTGTCATCGCGCCGCGCAATGGCAAACCCACGTTCATGTTTCGTGTTGGAGACCTGAGGAAGAGTATGATCATATCAGCTACCATTCAGATGCAGGTGAGGAAGAGTTCAGGTAAATGGTACACTTCATTGTCCAGGGATCTCATACTTAATATAAACCAGAAATCAGAGAAATTTTAAATAACCAAATTAGGAATTCTTGATTTTTTCGGGATGCTTGAAGGACTGTTTTAGCCATTATCAGTAGCAATGGTTTTATTCTGTCCCATGAATGCTGATTGATTGTCTTGTGCCACTTCCTTTAGGTGATTCGCAGGACAGTGACGGCAGAAGGGGAGGTGATTCCAGTCTGCCAACTTGACATCCAGGTGGAAAACCCACTCAGGAGCAATGGCATCTTCCTTGTCTCGCCCCTCATCATCAGTCACACCATTGATAGAGGAAGCCCCCTGTATGAGCTTTCTGCCCAGTCGCTGGCCACTGAGGATCTGGAGATCATAGTTATACTGGAAGGTAGGAGGATGTTCCACTGCAGCTACAGTGAACTATTGTTTTTTTGTTTTTTTTTAACTGGATTATTTGTTTTATGTGCTTTGTATACAAAGGCCTGTTCAGGTGACTTTCAGTAAAACCTGTCTAAGAGTGAATAGTGAGAGCGAGTGGTTATTAATAATGTACAGTGGGTTTTCTGCCATGCCACTTTCTGCCACAATATAAGATTGTGTTCAAGATAGCAAACAAACTTAAAACAAATAATGGAAATTCGTAGTAATTTTGTAGTCAAGTACTCAAACACATTAAAAAATGATTAATCAGGTATAATAATAATAATAATAATAATAAATGTGTTAACTTATTTTGCTTTAGTTAATAGCACCAAATTAATAAGAGAAGCATTTCGCGTTTAGGGTAAGTATCAGAAACTAGGGAACTGAGTAAGTAAATGTTGCATTCATTTGTGTTTGAATGTTAAGTAAGGAGTAAAACATTACAGGGCGTGTTGTTAAAGGAAAATAATCAGTGAAGGGGTGGTGTAGTGTAGCCCAAACCTGAAGATGCCTACTTTCCTTGAACAGCATTTTATTCCTTATGTACCACAGCAGTTTACCAACAATTACTTTTTTATTTGTTAAAGAATGCATCATACTTTGTCTCAGTTTATAGTTATGTTTAATGTTGTAGAACATCCGTGAAAGTTCCTGTTATCAGCAACACCAGTCATTCCCTTACTGTCTCTTGAAGTTAATAAGACAGAAAAAATGCTTCTTGTTACTGAGAAACTACAAAATGCAACATCCTCCATACTTAGAGTTTCCTATGGTGGAAAACGTAAAGGAACAGCTTTCCCTCTGAGTGTTACAGTGCTGTCACTTGAGACTCTTTCCATAAATGTTAAATAAATGTATCCTTACAGAATAATAACTTCATCATATAACAAATTTGATGATTTCATTTGATAAATAACAACACATTTTTAAAATCTGTTTATTATTAGATTTATTAGGCCTCTTATTATTAGAGTATGTGGAGCGTCTTACTATAGAAGTCACTGTTACTATAGAAACAATACCTTATTTGTACAAGCACATTAATATAGACCTGTCATTCTATTGGTTATAGAAAACCAATCAAAGCCTTCTGACCAATCAGATTCAAGAATTCAAAAGCTCTGTCATATAGAGACAGAATCAGTAGTAAAAGTGCTAAACTCCTTCATATTGCAAAACTACAGAAGGTAGCAATATCATATGTATATTATAAACTTGCATAAGCGTTTATTTATTTACATGCTTGTTAGTGATTTAGCTATGATGTACATTTCTTATGCAAACCAGGATCCACTTAAAAATCTGTTAGTTGAAGGTAGTTTTCTGAAACCTAACAAATGCTGCCCCTCTCATGACTAAGTGTTTAGTAGACACAGCTCCTTTTCCTCGTGGATTGGATGCCAGTGGTCCATTTTTTGTTGTTTTTTCCTCTGATGCCGCAGAGACTGGAGTTTCTCTTGTGAGTGGATCATCCCACCATCTCAAGGATCACAAATGGCTTCCTATTCACTACATACAGTATGCTCACTAGATGGAGTATAACATAATGGCATTATAGAGATTATGGCATGAACTATATGTTCAGAGTGCTATTTGAAACTACACCCGACTAAGAGAAAAGGGTCTCTTGTAGTGCAAGTATGTATTACAGTTGTTATTGTTCACAATACACTCCTAGGCAAAAAAAAGGGCCAATAATAAATCTGAACAACAAATCATTGGTCAGAAAATGAGCAAGAATGAAACAAATGCTCCTGTGCCACCATTTACTCGTTTCCTTTTGCTGCAGTGAACTGTTTGGGGAAAAGCTAGAAACAGGGAAATTCACTTATATAGTCTTCTTGTATGCAAAGGTAAAATCATGATTTGATAATGATTAAAATATTTGATGTAAAATTCAAACTAACACACGTCTGGGTGTACAAAATTTTCCAAAAATATCTTCTGGGATTTTTTTCTTAAAAGTTTAGTCATTATTTGGTTATCTGCCACACCTGATGCAGCCCATCAAGGGCTTTGTGCTTAAACATTTAAAGAAAAGGGATTTTTCTAAGGGAAAGGCTATCCCATACTAACTTCCTTTATCTATTTGTTTCATTCTTGCTCATTTCCTGACTAATGATTTGTTGTTAAGACCATTAAAGCTTAATATTTTGCCATTTTGGGCTTGGCCCTTTTTATTTTTGCCCAGGATGTATAGTCATAGTACATATGTTTTAGATAACTCAAAGTCTGTGATTGTGAAATGGAAAACCTGTCTAAAGCTTAACAAGCACAAATGTGCTTTAATCTCTCTGTAACACAATTAAAATATGACTTCCTGCACTGTATGTCTGTTTCCTTGTCAGGCGTTGTGGAGACTACCGGTATCACCATGCAGGCACGCACATCCTACACACCGGAGGAGATTCTCTGGGGACGCCGCTTCGTGTCCATCATGACAGAAGAGGACGGCCGCTACTCTGTGGACTACTCCAAATTCGGTAACACAGTGCCCGTGCGGATGCCTGCCCTCAGCGCTAAGGAGCTGGACCAGACGAGAGGGGTGCAGGACAACGGCCCTCACGAGGGTAAGCCTCAGGGCTGGGGACTGGTGCGGGCAGGACGAGGCGGCTACAGGAGGAGCGCGGGCCGGGCCTGCGAGGATAACCCATCCCGGCCGTGGTACGCTCCAGCAGAAAAAGACGAGCAGGATAAAAGTAAAGAGAAGAACGGGCAGAAGAAGACAGTGAAATTAGAGGAAATAGGGAGAGAGCTGGAGGAGGCGACCATGGAGGATATGAGTGATTAAATATGTAATATACTGTATATATAGGACATGGATGTGCAGATTATATAGTATAGCTACTTTATCAGAAAGCTTTTAATGATGTTATTTTTATATTGATTTGGGAAGATTGGACAGTAAAGCAGTTGATTTTTTAATGAATTGTAATTTTCCTTTTCTGTTTACACTACTGGATATATGTATTTTATACAAGCAGCTGTAGTTGGTGTGACTTTATCTCCACTCACCCCCCTTTTTTAACTCCATTGTCTTTGTGTTGTGGTTGTGTACTTGTACCTAC